TATATAAGTATTGTGATTCAGTGATAATAAGGTGTATATAAATACTGTGATTCAGTGATAATAAGGTGTATATAAATACTGTGATTCAGTGATAGTAAGGTGTACGTAAGTACTGTAATTAAGTGATTATAGCGTGGGTGTATATGAGTATTGTTATTAAGTGATGATAAGGTTTATATAAATTGGGCACGTTATTATTGGTTTTCGCTGAGCTATAAAGCATGAGGATGGAAAATCAATAACATTGGAACCAAAAAGGATTAAAAAGACAAAAATGAGGTGATTTTCTGTSTATTTTATATTTTCCTCTGTGCTTATTCGATTATTCCGCACGTTTGACTTCATTAATTCTTTTGTATTTTCTTGTGTTACCTSTTTATGCCAATGCTTATGTTCCAGTGAAACCCAGGCTATAATGTCCACTGTCAGTTATTACATGTCAATCGATATCAKTCAGAGTTTAGCTTGTTTATCAGTCGTCACCATGATATTACTGACTCATGTGTAAAATATGTTACAAGTTCCGAGAAAAAAAATGATTTAAGATCTCCGAAATTTCTCGTTAAATCTATATCCCATAATTTCAGAAAGCGAYCTTGGATGTGAACAAGATGTAGCTTCACATCAATCAATTTCGAAATATTCAGTACATCTACCAGCAATGATCTACAAACACTATAACAGTTTGAAAACTCTCAAGCRAATAGTTCTAAGTGCGCAATATAGTGTAAGGTTGACAACAGACAACAATTAATTCTCATAAATCAGTACAGTTTAGAGGCATGGCCGTAGTGTCTGTACTCTAATAAATTATGCTATTGAGTGAAGTCAAAAAGAACGTTATATGTACTTATTGACTGAGTGGGAGGGCCGTACGGGAAAAGATTTGGCTCGAGGTTATGCCGCACGGAACGATTTAATTACTTCATTCTCAAGCTGTAGCTTTGTTAATTGTCTAATTTACACGTATTTAGTAATATAACCATATATATTAGARCTAATACGTCTTTATCCCGTTCAAAGCGAACAACCGCTGATTTAGTTTACAGCAGTCTCTCATGCGCAGAGACCTTACCAAAAACAAAAGAAAGCACGAAAAAATTTTGTCATTACAATAGCGCTAACACTGTATTCCCAGAGAAGGTTCAACGTCATGCTCAGCCTAAACCTCGAACTTTCTAGAGCTATTGTAATGTCAACATTTTTTCGTGCTTTCTTTTGTCCTCTACTCAAGTGAGTCTGTTATCTACTAAAACAGCGGTAACTCGCATTGAACTGGAAATTTTAAAGGCTTATTCTCACCTCTTGTGTTTGCACTCTATGTGAAATGCTAGTTGTTTGATTGCCTTATCTTGCGTCTCTTCCTTYGCTCGCATTTCATTAATATCAGTCTATTAGTCGCCAGTTAGTCAATTACAGTAATGATTAGTTACTACCCTCTAAGGAATTATTTACATCCCTGAATATGCACCATTGTCGCCGGTCATTGTCGCGGCACAAGTTATTGTTTTTCACAGAAAGAAATCTAGTACTTTGGGTACCCTGTTTAWATATTTTGCACTAATTTGTGCTGCAATAACGAGAGTGGCACCATGATACTGGTTCAAACTCGTACACATAGAAATCACCACAGTTTTGTACTCGGATCGTCTTCTCCTGGTAACAACAATTCGAATTCCAGTTAAAGCACACCTTCTTCGAGACTATTCCCTCTGCCACGGTTGGGTGAGGTTGGCTGAGCCATCCAGCACCGTGCGTCCCGCAGCGATTAGCTGGTACACACGATMTGGGCATACGAACTCCTGCACCCCCTGAAAACCTGTACCATTTCTTAGCGATGTTATCGTCACAGGTTCTTGGACCATTAAACAAGGTGTTAGTTATTAGTCGAGTAGAATCTGTGATGGTCGAATACGATGAACATGCGACACCTGAAGAATAATGATCAGAATTACACAAAGCTAGAGTTTAGTTATTTTCTGTGAATGAGCCTGAAACCTAATAGAACATTACTTTTAAAGATACAAATACTGACTTAATTTTAATTAAAAACAGGAAAGTAAGTGAACTAGCAGATCCTTGACTGACCTAGCATCTCATAAAAATCGTTTTTAAAGTGGGTTCACTTGCATTTTCCTGAATTTTGAATGCATGTTTCTCAATAAAGAACATCTTTGCTTTGGCATCTCGGCCAAAACTATTTCCACGTGTTGGATGTTGCATGTTATTTTTTTTCGTTTACTTTCTGTAGTATTTTCATTGTGTGGAATTGAGGAAATACTCTTGTCCTMMTCATTTCTTGTTTAATTGTAATAAATTTTGCRAAAATATAGGAAAATTGTAAACGTGTGAATTGAGATTCAATTTCTACATCCCTGATAATTGTAAATCCTCTGTTAAGTTATCAGCGTACCCACGCGACCCCTACTCGCGTCATCGACTATAACCTTCTTGTTGTTTTGGAAATGCTCACAAAGTATATATTTTATGAAAGCTTAGTAAATGCAGTTTATGCCTATAAGTGTTTGAAATGYATTTAAAATTACGGTTTAGAATTATTAGCTTCATGATCTGAAACTACATGCCTGTATAAAACGAGCTCCAAGTCTGAAAGAATTATCGGAAAAAAAAATCAATTTAAGGTCTGAGGAAAGTGTAAACCAGTGTCATTTTGAAGAGATTTTGAAAAAAATATATAAGGAGTTGATGCCATTTCTGCATACATAATGAAAGTACATATAATGGAGATTTGAAAAATACAGGTCAACACTCTTCGTGTTTGTTTGTGAAGGCGTGAGCCGTATCCATAGCAACAGCTTAAAAACGCTTTAAACTCTTATAACTCCTTAAATTTAATTTTTTAAATAATTTCTTCAAGAATCATAAAGATAATATAAAAATGCAACTTTTGTATGGTAGGATACCATAGTACGAAACTCGTAGGTACAATTTTTCGTTTATTGTTTTCTATAGCATCAGATTTCAAGTATATTTCAAATACGCGAAAAATATATACATATAGAGATTAATAAAATTAATTAAACAAAAATGAAAATCCAACTCGAGAATCCAWYTCGAGAATCCAACTCGAGAATCTAACTCGAGAAKCTAACTCGAGAATACAACTCGAGAATCCAACTCGAGAATCCTAACTCGACTGGTAGTATATCTCTACTTGCCGTAAATTTTGTTTTTAGAAATGAGTCAAAAACAGTTTTTAGTCCGTAATGGGATTATACCGGATAATACCAGATTATAAGACCATATCGGAAACTACGTCATTTTAGCATAAAAGATGCGATGACAGCTATAAAACCGATTTAAGTAGTACGGTCAGTTTACTTTCAAAAGCATCAACTTGTAACTCGTAAGATTTTACTACAAATACAGTTATATGTAGCAAATTTGGGTTAGGCCGAAGCTAATGTTCGATAATGTTCAGGAATGCCAAAGGCCAAGAAGATTAGCGATAGCAAAGCGAAGCAAGGATGTGCTAATAGCCCAATTGCGAGTTTTGACTCAGTAGTCACACACAAAGGAATCAAGACGAGGCGCCGTGCATAAAGCTCAGTCATTCGTGAAAAGACAATAGTTTTTCACGATTGACTGAGCTTTACGCACGGCGCCTCGTCTTGATTCTTTTGTGTTTGACAATTGGAGCGAAATTCGCAAATCGGCTATTGTAAACATAATGTATAATTGATTGCTATTCTCGCAAATTTTGGCCGTTTCAAATCATAACGTGTAAAATTATGAAATAAACTAATGCAAGAGAAAAGAGAGGGAGAAAGAAGCAGAATATGATTAACCGAGAATCAACAACATGAGGGTGATATACAACTCTGTATCCCAGGACGGACTTCAATACTTAATCCATATGAAAACTGCTGGTGAGCATATTTATCGAATATATTGCTTATTGGTCCTTCACATTGGCAATCCAAAGACATATTCTTTTGTATCTTACGGCATRCTTCAATCGACTCTCACTCTACGCACGGTCGTATATAAAACTCGTTTGATGTGAGCTCTCATCATCACCATTAATCCAATTAAGAATAAAAAATCTTTTGAGCGGAATAACTTTTGTTGAAAACTTCGTATCTTTTCAAACTTTACTAAAYACCTAGATCTACAAACGATCTTTCCAATGATATAAAAATCAAAAAATCATTACGATGTAAAAATCAAATATAAAAATCAAAAAATCATTGAGATGTGACAGTTTTGGGTACGCTGATACCTTAATATTCTCCAAGAAATATGTAAAGAAGTTAATATTAGAATATATTTCTAATAAAGAGAAAGTACATGTGTATAAGTTGACTCAACATTAACAGTTCATAGATCATTCAGATCAGTTCTTTAAAATCCATATCTTGATGGTGGCTTTACAACTCTTCCGCTCCTAGTCTTTGTCTCGATGGCTTCTCTTGGCTGTTCTGTATTGGGTACTTTGATGAAGCCGTTGCTAGGTGCGAAGTGTGGAGAAWTTGTGATGTGTTGGAATCCGTATTGTTCTGCAAACTCTTTGAATGCGTAGCTGCCGTAGTGAGAACCGTTGTCTGAGCGTACAACCTTTGGTATTCCATGTTYGCTGAACATTTCTTTGATCAGTTCTATTATTTTCTTACTGGGACATTGCTTGTAAAGCTTCCTGACGAATGTGTACTTGGAGTAGTAGTCAGCCATAAGTAGGTATTCATCCCCATCTAAATAGAATAGATCCGTCGCAACTGTATGCCACCCACGTGGTGGGATTTCCGTTTGGATAACTGGTTGCTTTTGTTGACTCTTTTGTAGTTCTTGGCAGATTTTGCACGATTTGGTGAGGTTGTCAATATCTTTGATGAGATCTCTCCAATAGACTGATGTTCTCGCCCGAAGCTTAGTTTTCTCTGTTCCTTGGTAGGATGCGTGGGGTTTTAGCAATATTTCTGGTTGCATCTCTTTGGGAACGATGATTCGGTGACCCTTYATCATTATTCCATCTTCTAGGGCAATCTTGTTCTCGGTATGACCAGTAGGGTCTCAAGATYTCAGGTACTTCCTTAATGGTTAGGCCATCCTTGGTAGACTTGTTCCTTCAGGGTTCATAGTTCGTGGTCTTTACTGGTGGGTTCTTTGATCCTGTCTAGCATGTTGTTACTGAACTGTTGACACACCAGATGGATCCCGACGTTCATGT